CCTGCCCAAAAAAACAAGTGAAGAGGCTCTGATGCCACAGACATATTGTTATGACCATGACTGATTTATCTTTATATTTATGACTTATATGAGCAATGGTTTGCTTATGCTCTTCGAGTTCACATCGTTGAAGGCATGGTTCATCATTGAGCGCATAACTTTACAAGGCATTTAATCTTTCTATTCTGTGACTGAGGCCATTAAACTTGGAAATGCCTAATGGTAAACTAGTAATGATTTCTTTGTGCCGTCATTAGCTATTCACACACATGCTAGATAATTGAAAGGCAAAATTCCATCTATCGTGAATCGCTTCTATAGCCTTTTTCTGTTTACTTGTTGAAGATGCCAGATACCAGAATTCTTGATGCTATTGGTTATAAGCATATGCTTCCTTTTCATGTTACACTGCAGGGATTCGCTGTCCCAAAGGAATCTCAAAACAAAGTTGCTGATTTTACATTCCATGGGAAGCCAGCTCAGATAAAGCATGGTGATGTGGTCATAGCTGCAATCACCAGTTGCACAAATACATCAAATCCAAGTGTAATGCTTGGAGCTGCTTTGGTTGCAAAGAAAGCCTGTGATCTTGGCCTTGAGGTTAAATTTTACCCTTCTCTATAAAAGTATCTTTGTGTTTTATTTTTGTCGTGCTTCATTTTGTCATTGTCTGAATGGATCAGCCTGTGACACAGTCATAACATAAATCATAAATGTGCTAATGTGGCAACGGAGTTTAAGGTTCCACAAGTACGAGTTCCAGAAAATGAAATCTAGAGACATAGAAACTTATATGCTATATTCCTGTATGAAAATTGACAATACGCAGAATACATCTATTTTCACCTTTGTTTTTTCCCCTTGATGTGTCAGTCAGTTGGTAGATGGTTCTGGTCGAAACCTAGATCTTATGGATGAGCTGTGGGATATTTGGATGTTTTGTACTCATCCTTGTTGCATTTATTTCCCCTTTTATTCGTACTAATAAAATATATGTTTTCCACTAGGATTTGCCTAAATAAAGCGTTCACTAGGAATAATTTCTCAAACTGAAGATTGTAGCATGAACTGATTGGGAATTCTGCCTTGCTAATGCCTTTATATCTTTGTATCAGGTGAAGCCATGGATCAAGACAAGTCTTGCTCCAGGTTCTGGAGTTGTTAAGAAATACTTGGATAAAAGGTAATTTGGACAGTTCCATGAATTGTAAATTGTGTCTAAGTAATGCATATGCTCACCTGTGTTAATGTTCATACTTGGTATATTTCAGTGGTTTGCAGCCTTATTTAGATCAGCTAGGTTTTAACATTGTTGGATATGGGTGCACAACCTGCATTGGCAATTCCGGAGATCTTGATGAATCAGTATCAGCTGCCATATCAGAGAATGGTAATTTCTCTACTTAAGAAAATAAGCCAACAACTTATGTTCTCTAGAGTTAAACTTCCTTGATAAATGCATGATAATCTCAAACATGCTTGTGTTTGTCCAGATATTGTTGCTGCAGCTGTGTTGTCTGGAAATAGGAATTTCGAAGGACGTGTACATCCGTTGACCAGAGCAAATTATCTTGCTTCCCCTCCGCTTGTCGTAGCTTATGCTCTTGCTGGCACAGTAAGCAACCAGAAACTTATCCTTGCTGCACCTTGACCTGGTACCTAGCTATATCTATTATGACTTTGTGATTCACCAAGTCCTTGGTGTTGTTTTGGAGGGTTTAATAGTCTATAAGTTTATACTTGATGCCTATAATTGGGTTATAGTCTTTTCTTCTTACTAGCTTGCTTCACCATTATAACTGTTCATAGAATACAAAATCAGTCAATGGAAATTAGTTTCTCACCTTCTTGGAATTAATCTACTGCAGGTTGACATTGATTTTGATAAACAACCTCTGGGGACTTCCAAAGATGGGAAGGAGGTTTACTTCAGGGACATCTGGCCAACCAATGAAGAGATAGCTGATGTGAGTTATTGCACCGTTTAGGCTGCTTTCCTTTATTCTAAATATTTTGATATACACTGCTTACACGTGTTTGGTAATTTCTATTTATTTTGATCCTTAGGTCGTGCAATCCAGTGTGCTTCCTGATATGTTTAGGGGCACATACGAATCAATCACTAAAGGAAATCCCATGTGGAACGAGCTATCAGTACCATCATCAACTCTTTACTCATGGGATCCTAACTCAACATACATTCATGAGCCTCCTTATTTCAAGAACATGACAATGTCTCCTCCTGGCCCTCATCCTGTACTACCGACCATATCTCACCTGCTGGAAGCATTCACAAGGATAGCCCTGCTGCTAAATTCTTGATGGAACGTGGTGTTGATAGGAAAGACTTTAACTCTTATGGAAGCAGACGTGGTAATGACGAGATAATGGCAAGGGGAACATTTGCAAACATTCGCCTTGTGAACAAGTTATTGAAGGGGGAAGTTGGACCTAAAACAGTTCATATACCTTCTGGGGAAAAACTCTCTGTGTTTGATGCTGCCATGGTAAGTTCTGAGTCTCTTCGACCGAACTTAACAATTAAAGAATGCAAACTTTTATCTGACAGTTAATACAGTTTGCTATTTGTTATTTGCTATTTGCATTCATGTCATATTAACGTAGTAATGATGAGATAATGCCAGTTTGATTCTTGTGTCTAAAGAAATTAATCCATTTCTTCTTTATTGATGTAACAGAAGTACAAAAATGAAGGACATGATACTATCATCTTGGCGGGTGCAGAGTATGGAAGTGGAAGCTCTCGTGATTGGGCTGCTAAGGGGCCAATGCTGCAGGTACTATCTCGTTCTCTATTTTTTATGTGTTGTCTATATACATGTGCATTAATGTATGTATGTATATATGCACGTATGCATGCATGCATGCAAAATGAGCTACCAAGAGATACAAGTGGTGAGTTGAGGCCCACACCTTTGATGCAAAATGAGCTACCAAGAGATACAAGTGGTGAGTTGAGGCCCACACCTTTGATGCAAAATGACCGTCTCTTAGTGGCTTATCCAGCAAAATAAGTCATCACTGCATAATCACTTTTTCCATATGCATACACACACACGCATGTACTTATCTACATACATATGTGAATGTATATATAGGCACCACAGATTCATGTTCTTGTTACTTCTGTTGCAGGGTGTCAAAGCAGTGATCGCCAAGAGCTTTGAAAGAATCCACCGGAGCAATCTTGTAGGTATGGGCATAATCCCCTTGTGCTTCAAGGCCGGTGAAGATGCCGAGACCCTAGGCTTAACTGGCCATGAGCGATACACTATCAACCTCCCCTCCAGTGTGAGCGACATCAAGCCCGGCCAAGATGTCACTGTTGTCACCGATAATGGCAAGTCATTCACATGCACAGTCCGCTTTGACACCGAGGTACATCGTCTCATCGATGCGATCAATATTTGGCTTATGTATAATTGTTACATGGAATATCTTCCTAATCCTTGTTAATGTGCAGGTGGAACTTGCTTACTACGATCATGGTGGAATTCTCCCGTTTGTTATTAGAAATCTGATCAATGACATGCATTAGTTGAAGTTCATGAGAGTCTTGTATCATCGGCTTTTGTTCATGTCATTTTTTGTGCCTCGTAGTCTTGGGGTTTTTCTGTTATGACCCAAGAAATAAAATGGAAGAGTGGAGGCTGAAGGAAATAGGCGGGTTTGTCTTGCCGTGGAGTGAGTAAAAATGCAAACTCTCTCCAATTTGTTTGTCCATAATTGTTGCTTTATATTTGCACAATCTTCAAAAGCAATATTTGCTTGTTGCGCACAATGGATATTCATTATGCTCTTCTGCAGCATGATTCTAAGGGAAGCTGTTCACGGGGCATACATAATGAACACCTCTTATTATTTATCTTTGTCTCCCTGAAGTGAGATCAGATTGTGTTTCTCTGAGATGGTTCTCCTCCTGCTGACGAATCTGTTGCTTTAAATAAATTGTTGGTTCTTTATTCTGTCTTTCTAGATGAAAATAGACTTCGCTGGTAATCCAAGAAAATGGTTCCTGTTTTACGAAAATTAAACTACGCAGTTTTGTGTCATTGTGGTTAGGAGCTCTTTGTTTAAGATTCCTTCGGACGCGAACAAATTATAAGCAAAATATATGTAGTCTTGGACGTAAAGGACTACAGCTAACCCTTATTAATAATAGACACTCTGAAATTTGTAACACAGTTAGTGGTGGGGCCAGTATCGGGCCCCGGCGACAGTGACATGTCAACGGACACAAACCTAGGAGTGTAGCAAGTAGCAACATGATAAAAACATGAAGTTCTGTTCTGTTTCTCACTATAAAATATGCAACCAAAGGCAGGTTACAGGCAACGCGCAAGACCAAAACCAAACAGTCTTTTACAATAAAAAGGTCTGTTTGGTTGGAAAAGCAGCTGTATGCTCTACTAGCGAGTAAGTGAAGGTAAGGAGGGGGAGAAGAATGAAGAGCCAGATGATCTCCATGAAGGAGGGATCGTCGTCGTCGTCGTCGTTGCTGCTGCTACCGCCATCATCATCAGAAAAACCACAGACGGTCCTCGGACCGAAAAAAGCTGCCATGACCGTTAGGAGCGTGACGAGGGAGGAGATAAACAGGTATTGGAGGATGAAGAAGATCGAAGAGGAGGAGCACCTGTTAGCAGCTCTGAAAGCAGCAGCTAGAATCAGGGCAAGAGCTCTCCCGGTAAGCTGTCTGCTTGATTATTTATTTATTTTGCTATTAACTGACGAGAGTACATAATTAGTATTGACAGCTAAAGATCAATCTTAAATCTCAGGAGGAGGAAGTTCACAGGAGATTCGAGGAATCACTGACGGTGGATGCGAGGAAGAGAGGCGATGA